TCAGTGGTTGTCGTTTGTTGCTGTACATTATGTTCATTATTTTGTACATAAATCAGGCCGTTAGTTTTCTCGTTTGAATTGTTTTACATTTGTCATTTCGGGACCTTTTATAGCTGACTATGCGGTATGGGTTTTACTCATTGTTGAAGGCCGTACGGTGACCTAAAGTTGTTAATTTCTGTGTCATTTGGTCTCTTGTGGAGAGTTGTCTCATTTGCAATCATACCACATCATCTAATTTTTATATCAAGATTGATAACGTAAACATTCTTTTTTATTTAATACCTGTAGTACATGAAAACGCCTTATTCTACCAAAGTAGCATAAATATCCACTATACTATCTTGTTCAAGCATGATGCCTGTTAAATCTTGTCTGGTCTTCATTTACAGAATGCCATAAAGCGTCATGATGAATGGGCGTTATAAAAATCCACTATCCTCAAGAAAGATGCCACTTTCTAAGTTTGCAAATGTTGTAGGTATATGTAAAGAAAAATTAAGTTTCAACTTGAAGGCATATAAAGGAATGACCAAATTAAAAAAAAAAGGATTTCGCAGCAGATATCAAAATAAATCATATATTCTTGGGTGGCATGAAATAAAAAATCTGAATGAAACAGTCACACTTAAAATGGTACTTATGTATTGGGTCCCGAATTCCATTGAACCTGTGAATTTTTTTACTTGCATTGTAATTTTGTAAACATACCATCTGCATCACACACAGCCTGAACATTGATGCTATGGTACCCTTTCATGTTGACGTAGGAGGCTTCATCAGTGTTAGGTGCCTGAATGCTGACATGTGTACCACTAAACCGGTCTTAAAGCACCAAATACTGCGCCTCCCAAATCTTTTTCTGGCTCGTAACTCCTCGTCACTAAAATCTAGTGATAATGCAACTATGTTACAAAAATGTCTTCATTAATGAGGAATATTGTATCTTTCAAAGGCAGTCATATTTAACGAGTCGTTAATATTTAATCATGGGTAAGAAAATGATTAACTTTAGCGAGATTTTAACACAAAAGTTCGAGACATTAATTTTGAACAGCACTTTATATTTTCGTTAAATGATAACGCCACGTTAACGACCGTGTAACGTATACGTAGTCGTTATGCTAACGACACTTTTGAACAACCCTATACGTAGTCGTTATGCTTACTACACTTTTGAACAACCGGGCCCTGGTTGCAAATATTCCATGTATATTCAAATCAAGGGTAAGTTCGTCGCCAACCAAAGAATAAACGGAGTTTGAGTTATATAATATTCTTACCTTTCGAGTCCAATTCATTTTGGCCAATCCATCTATATTAATTCTAACAGATTCAAGTCCCCCAGCCATCATTTTAAAGAACTACATTAACTACATGTATGCACAGATCTTTTTGCACGAGCCGCGTGAAATGTTCATGAATCTTTATATGACACAAAACATTAAATTACACGTTAGGCTTAAGCGACGCGATCATTTCCACGCCCCTGCATTGTCAATCACTCACAGCTCCTAAATTATAATGTAAATATAACATATATATCATATCAGCATTGGCTGGAAAATAGTAGTCATTCGCTGAAGTATTTGTACTCACAATGCAGGTTACATTTGTATTTGTAACATGTATAGTAGAGACGTAGTTGTTCCATTTAAGGGCAAACGATACAGTTTTGATCCCACTGTGTCATTTTGACGAAAGCTTGCATACAAGCTATTTTTCACGAAGCCAATTCAAATATGTAATAAAAAATATACCTCCATGTGCTACTTTTAGAGACAAATTTGGTCGAAATTTTGGACATTTACTGGAAATTTTGGTTTCTTGGACATTTCTATCATTTGGAAAGACACATCTAACTTTTTTGTTTCAAAAGATAAACGAAAGCGGATTTTTGTAAAAACATCTACAATATCTTCTCTACATAAAGATTTTAACAGTCAGAGATAAATATGACCTTGTTCAATGCCAAAATATAGGTATAGACAGATTGTAGTACCCGCAAAATGCATATGTGTATAACAAAAATATTTAGTATGGTTTTAACTTACTGATAACAAAATCAATATTTATACCAATAAACATAATATTCAAAGATCTAATTACAGTGTTGAATTGGTAACCTTTTAGAATAAGTTTATTTAAAGGATTGATAAGTTTACCCTATTATCTCTAAAACTATAATAGATATTTAGAAACTTTAGATAGAAAAAATGACCAGCAAGACAAGATCTTGCATTTCTACATATTATCTTGAAAACTGTAATAGAAAGATAGAAACTAAACATGATCAGCAGGACAAGATCTACAAATAAATCAACATGAACGATCATCATTAGTCGACTCCTTAATGACGTTATTGCCCTTTAATGACTATTTTCCGCATTTTTTGCATTTTTGCCTAATATCTTTAAAACTATAATACTAGATAGATAGAAACGTAAAATGGGAAACATGACAAAAATTATCAGTAAAACCGCATGGCCGAAATCTACCGTCAACTCATTATTGGAGTTATTGCACTTTATGGATATTTTTTTTTCTTGTTATTTTTGTTGATATTTTTTTTGTATGTATATGATGTAAGTCATGTTAATACTAAAACACTGGCCACAGGCTTTAAGTAAATAGAATTCTTAGAATCTCATCACTAATTGTCAAATGATAAACATCGCGAATCACATTTTTGATATTTTCATTTGATATATGATTGGAATTAAAATTTGCATTAAGATAATTATAACAATGCATTTTAACACTAGTAGAAGAAATGCAGTCTATCGTAAATTTACCTCTTCTGGTTTCAAACAAGGTAGTCATTTCATGATAAAAATATCATAATCTTTCACTGAGATAAAACATGTGAGCAATTTTAATAGATCATTAAATACGGAAAACAATCGGCCAAAAGATTTTTGAATGTTTTTTAACATGATTTATAAAAGATGCTCAGTTAAGGATTTTATTATGTCGTTTCCCCGGGAAACACGTCATCATACTTATATGATATATTTTTATGCCTTTTTATGGTGTAAAAGCTTTGAATCGTTTTATTTTGGTTGTACCTGGTAATTCTTATTCCTAAAACATCTGTTGTACGCATGCGTCTTATTCTAAAACATGTGTTGAACGCATGCGATTTTTTTGTTTGTCATTGAGTTTTAATTTAAACTCTTTGTATAAACTACTTCCTTATACTTGATTAAAGTTGTATGTGAGGTATATGTAAATGAGACTTGCAACGTTAAGACAGAAAAGACACAAACATTAAATGACTATTGACTAAGGCAACAAGACGAGCGCCACATGTGGAGGAGGATCTGTTTACCTTTCTGGAGCACCTGAGATCACAGTTTTTAGTGGGGTTCGTGTTACTCAGTCTCTAGTTTTATATGTTGTGTTTTGTGTACTGTTGTTTGTCTGTTTTTTTTTTTCTTTTTTAGCCATGTCGTTGTCAGTTTATTTTCGACTTATGAGTTTGAATGTTTCTTTCGCCTCTCTTATAGCATGCACATTTTAGTAGCAATCTCGTGTCAAATTATTGTTATAATCTATATGATTTACAAATTACGATGTACGTATCTTGTATATCCGAATATACCTTTCTACATGTCAATTGTTGTGGATAGATATAAGAAGATGTGGTATGAAATAGATTTTGTTATAGTCTTACTTACATTACTAAGACAGAAAACATTAAGAACAAAACGCAAAATCATTCTTTCAAATGTCGAAATGAACATATCAATCAAACATCGTCCATATCGGGACGACAACATGTTATTAAGACTACCTTGCACTGGACCAGCATTCTTCCTCATCTGACCAACGTTAGTATGCCATAAGAATAACAGTATATGTAATATTCATCAAATGTCTGCGTATACGCGTTATCTTACAGCAACTGACGGAAGAAAAATTAAAAGTGATTTCATTGAAAAAACCTATGAAGTAGTATGTGCAAACCTACAGCCTGTCACTAACTTTTACACAAATATTTTAATATATGAATAAAAGGAGATGTTAAGAATGTTTTGATGTTTGGAATACGTCGATTAGACATATAAAAGTAAGAAGATGTGGTATGATTGCCAATGAGACAACTCTCCACCGGTCACAAAATGACTTAGAAGTTACAAACTATAGTTAACCGTACATCTTTCAACAATGAGCAAAACCCATACTGAATAGACAGCTATAAAAGCCCCCGAAAAGCCAAATGTTAAACATTTCAAACGAGAAAAATAACGGTCTTATTTATGTACAAAGCAATAAACGACTTTGGTTTACAGAAACAAACGACAACTTCTGAATTATAGGCTTCTGACTTTGGACAGACACATTCAGAATGTAGCGGGGTTAAAGATGTTTGCAAGCGCCTAACCCTTCGTAACCTGGGACAGTGGTGTAACAGCACAACATAAGGACATAAAAACACAAGTTATAAAAATTAATTAAAAAGGGCTTAACTCATCAGATCAATACAAAGTAGAAAAACAAGTAACAAAACCACAGACCGGATGTGGCAGGGCATTTATACATCCCCACAACAGAAGAAACCCATCTAACTACGGAAAAGCTTGATTTTGGTGGGCCTGATTATTAGCTGTCATGTGCAACACGGCGGGAATTTTGGCTTTGGTCCCGATTATCCACACAAAGTGCTCTCATGTTTAGACTTTTTTTAAGATTTTAATTTATATATTTTTTTAGGTCAAATAGCCAACACTTCTTCAAAAACATTGAGGCTGGCCTGCAAGAAACGATCTCACAAATAAGGTCAAATTAATTTTGATAACATAGACGGGGAGAAAGTTATGATTCAATCATGTAAAATATGTAAAATGAGGAAGGAGATATCAAGGGACCATTAAACCTGTATATTACACTGACTTGTTATAAAAGTTTCTCACTTTATTTTAATCAATGTATAATTGACAACGTGTAAAATTGGTAACATACTATTTTTTAAATAGTTTACTCATGTCAATAAAATATAGTATTTTAATCATTTTAATAGAAAAGAAATCTATAGATAAATAGCAGAGTCGAACTGTTACATTTTTCAAAATGATTTTTTGTTGTTATTGAGTGTCATTTAAAGATTGAGCAGCAGTTATGACCTATGCAATGTTCTGTACTGTAAGTTACTCATGAATGATTTCTATGCTCTACGGAACATCATTCTTGTCGACTTAAGAGAGTAGTAATGTCCTCTCCATTGCTTCCAATTAACACCATCAGCAAATGACGCATGTGTTCCGCTCAGATACTGACCATTCAGGTTGCTATTGTGACAAGCATTGTACCACCATGCTCCTTTATAGTCCTGGGAACATGTCATTTTGTTTTTATCTTTAGTTGAAAACATCTGTCCATTATGATGCGCAAGCGCATCTCCTGTAAATTATATTGATTAAAGATAAGAGGACCCGCAATGTTATAACAAAAATGGTTATCAATAAGTTTATTATGAACAATGTGTTAATGTCATCAAAGATAGCAGGATTACAATTTAATACACCAGACACGCGTTTAGTTAACTTAAAACTCATTAGTTGCGCTAGAATCAAAACAGCTTACAGGCAAATATTAGGTCATATGTTCAACCAGCAAATATGTATTACAAATGTGGGGAACAGTAATAGTTTTCATTTTTTACAAAAAACTTGGTACACTTGAAACGAATGTATTAAAGCTAATATTGCAAACCATCATGCAAAGTTTACTTTAGACATTTTGTCATTTCTATTTAGTTCCTTTTTTCTACTAAGGTCTACAATGTTTTAAATGTTTATAACATCATGTGAATCTATTAAATATAGAATTAAAAATCAGACGGTTTTTATGGTCAAATAAAGAATCTCTCTTCGTTGTAAAAATTAAATTGTCCCGTAACTTTGGCTTTCCCAAATTTTGGCCTCGAGCGTATCTGGTGAAGTTCATAGTTTAAATAAAGACATGGTGTACATGAGGTAATTTACTGTATATTCCCGAAACCCGTGCTATATATCTATAATATTAGGTCAATGTATCAACTTTATTTGTATGAGGCTTTGAAACTGGTTAAGAACGAGATTCACCGAGTCCTTCAACAGTTTGGTGGTGAATACAAAAAAGTTGATATTTTTTACATTGCTCTTATATTGTTTTTAAACTGCAATTTGATGAATATAGTTGTAGCTATGTTTAGCTACAATATATATTCATCAATTTGTTTTTTAATCATTGAACGACCCCAAGATTGTGAAAAAAGTGACCTGATTTCAACATTGCACGACAAATCCATGTGTTTCTATATTTAGACACCAGAAGTGTTATAGCTGCCTTATGAAATGTATCCAGAAAAACGTGTTATACACACAGTTATTTACTGTATATTTCAGAAACACGTGTTGAACACACGGTTATTACTGTATATTCAAAAAACACATGTTGTACATTCGGTTATTCACTACGTTTTCCAGAAACACGTATTGTACACACTGTGTACTCAAAAAGCGTGTTGTACACACGGTCATTCAATGTGTAAACAAAATATACTTGATGTAAACACGGTTGTTCACTGCGTATTTCAAATACTCGTGTTGAACACACGGTTATTCACTGTATAGTCCAGAAATACGTGTTGTAAACACGGTAATTATAATTTATTTTAATAACATTACGAAACATGTAAGCTTGTGTTGTTACCTTACAGTGACATTCATTTGAAGAACGTCAATAAAAATACTCGTTGTATTTTTCAAGTTCTTTTACGGGTGTTATGTCATTAATTGCTTCTAATTGATTCCTAAATTCATTTACTTTGAACGATAGTGTTCATATCTCAGTACTCGCGATCGTAGTAGCCGACTACTATTGGTCAATTACAGAAAACCATATCATCAGAGGTAAGGGACCTACTACTGGGAAATCTAAAATTGGTTATTTACTAGCAGGACCACTTCATTGTACACCAAGCTACAAAAACCATCAAACATTTATGATGCATTTAATGATCTTAAGGAAGACAGAAGAATGCTACCTTGGGAAATTTTTGAAGATCGAATCACTTGCTATTGGACAAATTGACGGGAAGACAACGGGAAACAAAGAATTTCAAGATAAATATCCGAAGACATGTATAAGTAACCATGACAACAGATATTTTGCTTCTTTACCCTGGAAAGAAAATCGCCCAACTTTACCAGTTTACAAAGAGATTGCACATCACATAACACTACAAACCATTGAAATCTGAAATGGCCTATATTTGTACTCGACTGTACTGATTTTTACTCGACCAGTCTGAATTGGTCTGAAATTTCCTTGATTATACTCGACTGTAGTCTGAACCATACTTAACAGTCTGAACTTGTACTCGACCACACTCGACCAGTACTTAACCATTTAATTTGCGTCTGACCCATGCTCGACCTAGTCTGAACCATACTCGACCTAGTCTGAACCATACTTGAAACCAAAATTTCACAATACACATAATATAAATTCAACACCATATTCATCAACTCTTACATATATATATATATCACCTTTAAAATAAAAATAAAACAAGCTGATCCAATAATCTCAAAACTGAATTGTGACTAATTTTTTCAATGTTATTCAAAATTTTTTCAATGTTTCAGATATATTTTATGGTTACTGGACAATTTTCACCATTTACTTAAGCCTTGTATAGATTTATGGTGTCAGTTGAGTTTAGTTAATTATGCAGTGAACATTTTTTTTATTAAATTTAGAATAGTATATAAAGCAACTTAATAAACTTAAAAGTTCACATCTTTGTTTTGTAAAACCAAGAATTTAATATAATCATGATAATAGAACTTCCGTAGCAATCCTTGATAACCATTTAAAAAAGGAAATGTGGTCCAAAATTGCAGAAAAAGTTTATTTCAATTAAATTTACATAACTTTTGTCAAAATTAAAGACATGGCATGCAAGAAGAACTTTAATAAGGTTTAATTACCTCATTACATGTGTGTTTTACAGGTAAAAAGAAAGCCCTATTTTTCTTAAACTCGTGTATTACTTATCTAGTGAATTCAAAACGCCTTGCGATTTAAGTTTTACAGGATGTTGCAATTTTTACTGAATGTTAGTTAGAAATTAATTCTCTCTGACCAGGTGTGAACTTTTTAATGAGTTTGCCCCAAGCAGGAGGTATTACCTTATACTTTAACACTATTCAGAAATTTTTTTTATATTTATTTCTTTAACTTTTTTATCCCTTTTTGATATATATATTATATATTATATCCCAAATTATAATAAGAATAGATATATTTCTAATATAAGGTTAAACAATTTCAGTGATTTTTTGGCTGTTGTTAACTCATTAAAAAGATAATTATATAACTATTGTATGTAACCATGAATCTATGTAGGTTTTCTGTAGGAATTTAGGAAAATTAAGTTTAAAAAAAAAAAAACATGCCAACCAAGAAGCACCTTAAAAAGGTTTTATTACCATCAGTAAAGGTGTGGTTTTTAGGTAAAAGATTTTTTTTTAACAAAACTCTAAAACTTAAAATTAATATAATTAAATTATTATATAAGATAATTTGATTTAACTATCTCTATTTGATAAATGTGAGAATCATGTAAGGATGTAAGAATATGTTTTATATATATCTTTATTTTATTATGGCTGTTATCATGTCAGAAAAAAAGAAATTAATTTTAACAGCTAAAATTAAAAAAAAGTAGAGGTTATTTGGTCAAGTATGGTTCAGACAGGTCGAGTATTGTTCAGACCTTTGGTCGAGTATGGTTTAGACTGAAAAAAATAGGTCGAATACAGGTCGAGAATGGGTTAAGACTGTTTCAGACTGGTCGAGTAATAGTTCAGCCTATTTTCAATGGCAAAGATAAGGGTCAAGTACAAATCAGAACGGTCGATTATGGTTAAGACTGGGGTCGAGTAATGTCGAGTAAAATTCAGACCAATATAGACTGGTCGAGTAAAAATCAGTAGACAGGCCATTTCAGACTTTTACTGGTTTGTAGTGTAACAGAAACTTAATTAAACGATTGAAGAAGAAACCGCATTTATTACAGAAAAACGGAGAAATAATATTATAGGTGATCAAAAAAGAAGATGATTTATAGAGAAGATAAGTGAAGAAATAATAACAAGTAACAGAGTGCACTATATATCGCATCATGCCGTGAAAACAGAATCGTCAACTACACCTATTTTGATATTTGTTGACTGCAGCTATAAAGCAAGACCAGAAACGCCTAGTTTGAACGACTGTTTAATTGACAAACCCCTAGATCTAAACGATTTAATAGGAATTCTACTTGGATTTCGATAAATCAATTTTCAGTTTCAACATATATTGAAAAAGCGTTTTTGAATGTTGGATTAGACGAGAAAGACCGTGATGTAACGATTTTTTTTTTGGTTTTTCCAATCCTACAAACTCTGCAAGTCAGCGTTCAGTTTACCGATTCACATCCGTTTTTTTGGGGGGCTACCTGTTCACGATTTATATTAAAGCAGTTGTTCAAAGCACCTGAGTAAAAATGCATGTAAATGGACTGATGCTACATATAAACGGAAGGCATTTATGTTGACAAATTTCAAGTTTTCCAACAAAGAGACCATTAGTATTAGTACTTTGACACATATCGTACCTTATTTGCAAAAGCGGGATTCAATTTACGTTCTTGGCATCGTAAACGAAGACTTTATAAGATCGTGCAATGTCAGAAGATGTACTTGATTAAAAACTTATCGAACTATTAGATATTCAAATTCAAAACCAAAGTGTGCCGGGTACAGGGTCAGGCAACAAGAGAAATGCCACAACAAATACACAAAAGTGATGACAGGAAGAAGCAGTTACATGTACATGTGTGGGAGGGGAGAATATAACCAAGAGACCAGACCTCTGAATATCCCCACATAAACTACTATACAACTTACTGAATTTCTAGACGCAAGCATGACCTGTTGGGTGTGGAGCCCCGCACGTCATCGCCAATGAGACCGCAGCTGTTAAATGAGGAACCACCACCTGAGGATGTCATTCCATCAGATCAGCTTTTCGCCAAATACCTCTCATCTGGAAATTCACCTGATACCTTTACCATTGACATTGAACTAACAGAACATCAACTTTAGATTTTACCTCATGTTTAACCAACTTTTAGGAACCAGCAGAACCATCATCTTTAAATTTAAACACCAGTATAACCAACATTCAGGACATAAAAATTTAAACACAAGTATATCCAAAATTTAGGACATAAAAATAGTTAAGAACTTAGATGGAATACCCATCAAGACACGCTTACTTTTGCAAAACAGTATTACCTGGAAATGGAGGATACTTTGATTACAAAGCATGAAAATCTAAGACAATCTTCAAAGATTTACGATCCTCTAGGAATCATTTGGCAAGGTCGTATTGATACATTAAGAACCACAATTTAAATGTAGGAATAATTGACAAATTGATTCAGGACGAGATGGATTTGGCAAATCAGCTATTTTACAGACTTAAATGGTATAATATCTAGACCTATTAGCAAGTTTTATCAATTAGATCTGACATCTCATGAATTCACAAGACCGTGTAATGAAATATTGTCCGCCAGACCGTCTAATACCAAAGCAAAAGAAAAGATAAAAATGTGGACCAGAGGAGACCGTCAGATGTGCTTACTGTGAATTTTTAATCAGAATTATATGGAACGTTAACTGTGGTTTAATGAGTTGAATCGTGCTTTATTATAGACTGCGAAATAATTTTTACTTTATTCGTGTGCATTATGAAAGACAGTTAAAGATATTTAAAATTTTCTATTTATCAGAAATAGTTATTTAAAGTGAAACTTTCTTAATTTATATCCATGTCATTGTAATTTAATTCGTTTACGCGCTCCCAGAATTTCCGGATTGCACATACTAGTATGAGATGCGACGTTCCGCTGTTGTGACGTTAACTACTTCTGAGTTCCAATACAAGTATCATTGCAATAAGACGTCTTTCTTACTTAGCCTTAGATTGTGTCCGATACAACCACTCCACGATACCAATGTTCTGGACAAGCTACATCTACAACTTTTGACAATGTTTAAATAATACCTGCATCTCCTGTATAGTTACTGTATTTCAGCTTGAATCCAGAACTTTCATCGCTTATTGAGAATTGGGTGTATTCTGCGTAACGATGATCTCCGTCAAAATCTTCTAATTCAATTCGAAGAGTAAAGGTGCCTTGGTTTGTTAATAGATGTACGTATGTATTACCTGAAAATAAATGAATTAGATTTATAGTGTTACAATTACGTTTGTATATCCCATACTGCCAGTCCCCGATATTTCCTCTGTTCATGGGCCTGTAGTCAACGCTTCGCTAATTGCATAATTCAAATGGTTTATTTTGCCGGTATGATGACCTAAGAAGGTTTCGGCTGTTCTGTTTAGTGGCTACTGGACGTCATGATCTCTAACTATATATAGTTTGTGAGGGTCATAGAACATTTCTAGGATAATGACTAGTCTTTCAGAAAATTTATTTTTGTTTTCCATGCGACCGATACTATTGGTACGATAAGGTTATGATTTTTTTGAAATGTACATATTAAACGGTCAAACCTGCTCTTAATGTCCCCTCTTATAAGCGAAATCCTGATTGATTGATTGTTGTTTGCTTTACGCCGCATTAGCACAGAAAGGCTATATCGCGGCGAGAGCTAATTCGAATATTATAACAATTTAAGGTATATTTTTAAAATCAGACAAAAGGTCTTTCAATAAACTAAAATTCTAGACTAAAGCAAATTGATTATTTACAAATAAAAATCAACACTAAGATAACGTGATAAAAATTAAAATCGTTTTAAATATAACAACATTTTTATATTTTATAATATATTCCAATTTCTTTTAAGAATGAAACAATATTTGTAAATGGAATATTATTAAATAAATCATACATATTATTGACATTGAAATGCTTCTTCCGAATATCAGCAAAGTCAATACAATTGATTAAAACATGTTTAATAGTATACTTGCAGTTACAAGGTATACATTGTGGTTCTACTTCATTTTTTAAAAGATATTCGTGTGTTATTCTAGTATGACCAATACGACATCTAGAAATAACACACTGATCTTTTCTGCACATAAAATTATTGAAAGGTTTACATAAATTAGGTTTAATTTCATGTAATTTATTACCATCTTTTTTACTCCATTTATTTTTCAATATATTAAAAACATATTCTCTAATATTAGATTTAAAATCGGTATATGGTATATCACAGTTAGATAAAAGGGTCACCCAGGGCATTCTTTGCCTCAAGGTCTACAGCTGTGTTTCCAAGGATTCCAACATGACTCGGCACCCATAGAAATAATATTTCTTTAAGAAGAATTTTTAAATTCCTCATTACATATAAAATTTTGAGAATTGTTGGGTTTTTAATTTTAGTATTTTGTATAGCTTGTAAGCATGAAAGTGAATCAGAACATATAATAAATTTGGATTTATCTGAAGAAGCAATAAATTTCAAAGCCAAAATTATTGCTTCTGCTTCAGCAGTAAAGATCGATGCATCAGATGGCAAACGGAGAGTTGCAGCTCTGTCCCTGAAGACAGCAGCAGATGCAACTCTGTCACCATCTTTTGATCCATCAGTATAGACAGTTGAAAAATCTGAATAATTAGCTTTGATTTCAGCATAGTGTTGCTGAATTAAAAGAGGATTTGTTTTATTTTTATTGTGTTCACGGAGATCAAATATCATTTTTGGTTTGGGAAGTTCCCATGGAGGACATTTGCAAGTTTCAACTTGAGCAACAGATTTTAAATCAAAAGAAGCTAAATGTGGTTTTAAACGTATACCTAACGGAGGAATTTTATTTTCATGTTTTGCAAAAATATCTTCATAAATTGGATTAAAAACACAGCTGTAGGCAGGATTATCTGAGTAGGCTTTTAGTTTGACAGCATATTGAAGTCCAAGCTTCAAACGTCTGTTAGAGAGTGAGTGCTCATCAGCCTCTACATACAGACTCTCAACTGGTGAGGTTTTAAATGCGCCAAGACAGAGACGCAAACCCTGATGATGCACAGCATCGATAATCTGTATGTAGGACTTCCTTGCAGAGCCATACACTATAGAGCCATAATCTAGTTTAGATCTAACTAGAGATCTATATAAATTAAGTAAAATGTTGCGATCAGCACCCCAGTCGGTGCTGCCGACAACTTTTAAAATATCTAATGCTTTTAAACATTTCGATTTTAACATTTTGATATGGGGTAGAAAGGTTAACTTTTTATCGAAAATTAACCCAAGAAATTTGGTTTCATCAACCATTTTAATTGGGTTGCCGTACAAAGTGAGTTCTGGATCAAGATGCAATTTCCTTTTGTTACAAAAATGCATCCCGACCGTTTTTGAAATGGAAAATTTAAACCCATTTTCCGAGGCCCATTTTTCAATTCTTCCAAGACATAACTGTAATTGTCTTTCTATGTTATTCATATTTTTGCCTCTATAACATATTAAAAAGTCATCAACATACAATGAACCTTCAATATTACTTTTTAAAACTTCAACAAGGCTGTTGATTTTAAGACTAAATAATGTAACAGATAAAATACTGCCCTGAGGGACACCCATCTCTTGATCATACAGATCAGACATGGTTGAATTTACTCTAACATTAAATTGTCTGTTAAATAAAAAATTCGAAATAAAATTTGGCATATTGCCTTTCAACCCCATATCAAACAGATCTTTTAAAATACCATACTTCCATGTAGTATCATAGGCTTTTTCTAGATCGAAAAAGACCGACACTACATGTTCATTTTTCGCAAAACCATTACGGACAAATGATTCGAATCGAACAAGATGGTCAAGAGTACTGCGACCTTGGCGGAATCCACACTGGATATGTGCTAAAAGCCCATTGGATTCCAGGAACCAAACAAGGCGATCATTAACCATCCGTTCTAGTGTTTTACAGACACAACTGGTAAGAGCAATTGGCCGATAATTAATAGGATCCGTGTGATCTTTACTTGGTTTTGGAATAGGCACGACGGTTGCAAGCTTCCAGATTGATGGTAAATCACCAGATTCCCAGATGTTATTCATAAGCTGCAAAAGAGCTTCCAGCGAGGAATCTGGCAAGTGTTTTAATAGTTGGTAGTGAATATTATCAGGCCCACAAGCTGTATCATGGGCTTTTGATAGAGATGTTTTAAGTTCTTCAAGAGAAAAGAGTTTATTATAATTTTCACCATTTTTTGATTTAAAGTTTAATTTAATTTTTTCTTTTTGTTTTTTAACTTTTTTAAAATCTTCCCTGTAGTTGTTAGAAGAAGAAGATTTCGCAAAAGTTTCACCAAGCTTGTTGGCAATATCCTTTTCAGATGTTAATAAATCATTGCCATTTTTTAAATGTTTAACTGTGGCTTTAGAATTTTTACCTTTTATCTTTTGTATCATGTTCCATACTTTTGTCATCGGAGTGCGAGATGTTATCTCCGAGACAAATTTCTTCCAAGACGTTCGTCGTGCTTGCCTGCAAGTCCGCCGTGCCTTAGCGCGAAAAACACGGAAATTACTCAAGTTTTCTGTCGTTGGTTGTTGGTTGAACCGTCTTTCAGATTTTTTACGGTCATCTATTGCTTGATCACAAGCATCATCAAACCATGGTTTGCTGGGATGTTTCGGATTTGCCGAGGTCTTAGGAATAGTTCTGTCAGCAATTGACGTTAAAACTGTATTAAAAGTTAAAATTGGATCTTGTACAGTCTCAAACATCTTTGACTGAAGTTCCGCTTGACAGAGATTCTCAAACAAGGACCAATCCGCCTTGTCAAGTTTCCAACGTGGTACTCTCTGTTGGGCAGAAGTAAAAAGATGTTCAAGTACTATTGGAAAGTGATCACTTCCACATAGATCATCATGAACACGCCATGAATAATCCAGAAGAAGAGAGGGATCGCAAATAGTGATATCAATAGCAGAATAAGACCCGTTTCCAGGATGAAGATAAGTATTAGATCCATTATTAAAAATGCATAATCCTTCTTGAGAGACAAAGTCCTCAATGATCTTACCTTTGATATTATGAGACTTGCTTCCCCACAAGGGGTTGTGTGCATTGAAGTCGCCCATAAGTATAAATGGTGAGGGTAATTGATCAGTGAGGTTTTTGAGTTTAGCTTTATCTATAATTGAATTGGGTGGAATATATATAGAACATAATGTAATTGTTTTATCTAATGATAAACGAATTGCAACTGCCTGCAGATCCGTGGTGAGTTGGACTGTGCTATGAATGACGTTGTCCTTCACAAAAATGGATGATCCGCCTGCAGCACGTTCATCTACCTTAGAAAATGTGCTATACATGTTGTATCCTTTTAAAGATACATTGTCACTTTCTTTTAAATGAGTTTCTTGAAGACAAAATGCAGTAGGTAAAAATGACTGAACTAGAAGCGTTAACTCGAGAAGATTTATTTTAAGACCTCGGCAATTCCATTGGATGATAATTTGAAGTTTTGATTGCAATTTTCCCGCAATAACTCGGGCCTTTGACATTTGATATAATGTGCCAATAGGCAATTCATCTAACCAAAAATGATAAACGGTCAATCTTAAAATATCGTCTGATGGACTGTGCTACACTATTAAGATTTGTAATCAGATACGTAACTTATCCTTCGCAAAGTGTTTGTTCATATTGCAAGATTGTTTCCAAGAAACATTTAAAAAGTTACTAAGCATTACTTTTTAAATAAATTGACAAATTTTAATAGCTAGTAAGATGAATAAACTGATTCCCTGTCCTTTATCTGTTTGTCTTTGACAACAATGGTGACTCAAATGCCCGTATGTTTTAAGAAATACTACCAGCCTATTAAGATGAATTAAACGCTCTGCATATTATAGACCAATAGACAGAATATGATTTCATGTACATGTATAGTACATTTTGTCTTAACTATAGAACAGTCTAGAAATGATCGTTTTTCTATTTGATTTCGTCGATTGTACACAAGACAAAAAATTTGACCAGGTTTGCCCTACATTCGTTTTACTTGTGTAATATACTTTCTGTGCTAATTCAAATTGTAACTCAAATACGTAGACATACAGCCTACCTAGCCAGAATTCATCACTCATATTTCCAAATCCTAGTTTGTAAGAATCCCAATCCCTGTAAAAGTCAACATTGCCGTTCATTCTTCTCTGGAATACCTATAGTAATAAGATAAAGTTTGATGGTCACGTAACATGGTTTTTGTAAAAACTTATACATAACCGATACAGACATAAACAATTGTCTAAGCACACGACGAGACGTGTTTCTGAGCCAACCTTCACCAAAGTAAGTAGCCAATTAGCGAACCGTCAAAAACATTAGCTACATGTTTCTCCAAAAAATAATCTCAATGGATGTGCATTAAATACAGAAATGGGTATTTTCATTTTGATTTTCTTCATTTTATCTTGGTCGACACTATTATTCTGATAGTCAGTGGTTAAACCCCAAATGTGGAACCCACCTCGAAGTCAATGTTTGGCATTTGTCAGATTTGTTTTTTTGTCTATTTTTTTTATCTTTAAACTCACACAAAAAATACTTCTGTAAATTCAACAGAAACAATAGTTTAAATACTACCATGAGATTAACTCGAATGACTAAGCGCCCTCTCTTAATGTAGCGATCGATAGTAAATCGGAATATAACGACTGGATTAGTCGGAAAACCATGAGATGTGTTTTGCTTTGTAATTGAAATTTGTGTTATGTCACTTTTAATCTAAAAACTTCAGTACTAAACGCTTGCATCCATGCGTACAGATTGTTATAATTAGTCAATATGTGATTATTCAATAAGTGCTTCATATTCGATATTTCTTTTTACATTTTTAATTTTTTTTTTCCGATATTTTAACATCACAAAATAAGCTAAAAGGTGTCAAGTAAAGTTCAAAAGCATTAATAATTTGTATAAAGTTAAGACCACGTGCATACAGATGACTTCAATATATGATATTGTCATCAATTAAGAGATATTTTCTCATCGTTAAATCAATTTTATTGTAGGTATAATGAAAGCAGTTTTGTAATTAATAAATTGTAGAGTGTCATTACCTCCCAGTCGGGATTTCAAGGAAGACTGAATACTTTAAAATTATCGTAGTAATTATAAAAAATATTTTATTGTGTAAATGGTATTTGCATAAAAATATAAATTGCATAACAAATAAATGGACTAATTTACGGACGGAAAATCCCATATTTTTAGATGAAAACATGCAGATAAACACAATAAAGGTATTGAAATGGTCATTATCCAATGAGAAATTATTACCAGAGTTGCAAGTTTTTAGTTCAATGCCATCGCTGTCTTTGATTAATCATTTATATAAAAAAGAACTGTTGACACAGAAATATGTCTCGCTTATCGGCATAAAATTAAGAACAAGACAATCTGATGGACAGCAACATTGCTTATTAATTTATTCCCTGGACCATGATATAGATGTACAGACAGTAATGTAACTTTATAGAAAATATCGTTTTTTCATTGCAAGTAGTTCCTATCAATATAACGTAAGCAGAAAATCTTAACATTGAAAAGTGCTAATTAATTAAAAGTTTCTGGACCATGTGCTGGAGGGCAGGGCCTAAAAATAGCCATCAAAATGTACTGATAGTAATGCAACTTATACGTAATATCATTGATCTACCAAAAGTAGTTCTTAAGGACTAGGGTGCGAAATAGTCATCAAACTGATATGAACTGATAGTAATGCGACTTCATACAAAATATCATTGATCTATTACAAGGAGATCCTTTCAAACAGACTTAAGCAGAAAAAGTAAACATTGAGTAGTCAAAATAATTGTCAGATCAAGGATGCTGCACTAACGAAGACAAAAATTATTGTCACATCAGGGATTATGCACTTACGAAGACACACATATTGTCAGATCACGCATACTGCCCTAACGAAGTCAAAAATATTGTCAGATTAGGGACAATGCACTTATGAAGTAAAAATTATTGTCAGGTCACTGATAATGCACTTACGAAGTCACATGTATTGTCAGATCACGCATACTGTACTTGCGAAGTCAAAATTATCGTTAAATCGGGGATATAGCCATTATGAAATCACAAGTATTGTCAGATCACGGACAATACACTTACGAAGCAACAATTGTTGTCAGATCACGGATAATGCAATTACGAAGTAACATTTCACGGATAATACACTTATGAAGACACAATTAATGTCCAATCACGCAAACTACACGTACAAAGTCAAAATTATTGTCAGATCACGGATAATTCACTTAAGAAGTCTTTAGTATCGTTAGATCGCGCATAATGCACTTATGAAGTCACAATTATTGTCAGATCATGGATAACGCACTAACGAATCAACAATTAATGTCAGAACACAGATAATGCAATTAAAAAAATCACAATTATTGTCAGATGATGGATAACGCACTTATGAAGTCACAATTATTATCAAGTCAAAATCATTGTTAGATGCCGCGTTATACGTCATGATCATTTCACTTCATTTTTAAGGCAATGATACAGTAAGTCGTACCTAGGACTTTTTCCCATAATTGTGAAAAATCTTTAAATTTTGATAAAAACCCCATAAATTTGAAAATGGACTATATAGGACTTTTGACAACTAACTAAGAATACTTACTGTCCAGCCGCTTCCATTATCATTTACTTCACAGAGTACATTTAATGTACTGTTCATACTAATTTGGTATATACCCGTTTTGCAGATTGGGCTTTTGAGATCTGAACAGTCCCTCTTAACATCACATACATTTACTAAAAGAAATAGATGTGTTCAAAGCTAGTTCGTGATCTTAGAAATGTTATACATGGAGGCCTTGCTGATTGGTCAAAACAGAGTGTCAAAAATCATAACGCCAGGGAAATTTCTAATAATGTATCATCGTAAGAAATTCCCCGTATGAAAATCTATAGAAATATTGGTAATGCATTTGTTTTTACAACCATATGAAAAGTATGTTACGTGGTTGGATGAATATGACAAATATGACAGAATATAGAGCACCATCAAATAATGCAGAGTACACTTATTGAACACATACAAAGTACTGATTGATATTATTTGATCTTAATTTCCATGTCTCCTTAAATAGTAACATATTTTCTTTATAAAGCTTTTTGACTTAGCTTGTAACATGGGCTTCCTTTTATTTGGACGTAATCAAACATATCTTGGCAATAAGTTACTTCAAAGGGCTCTATGTGCAAGGCTAATCAACACAAAATAATATATTATTTTAATTGTGTTGATTAAAGTAGAAAGTGCTCCAGGTCCTTGTTGTGCCATTCGTTTTTTTTTTCACTCTGAACAAATTTTATCTTAAAAGCATTTAAACATGTATATAGAAGTAAACGATTTCAATTTCATGACCTTCGAAATAAAAGTGAACTATTACGGACTTTCAACTATTTTGAAAGACAACAGTTTTTGTTTTTACCGTATTTACCGTTATATTCCCACTCCTGCGGAAAAAAAGAAGGTTTATCTAACAATATTTGAAATTCATCCGGGGATTTTTCCAACAGAATGGTATCGTCAGCAAATAATATCAAATATGAGACAACCATTAAGCTCGTGAATGCTTCATCTTATTTTCCTTGTAGTATGTGCTCGTATCCCTATAATCTATAATAAATGTATGTTATGCGCTATGTCCTTCTTGTGAAGAGATTAAAGTAGCATGGGAGCACGTGTATACTACGGTCATCATAAAATTGTATGGATAAGAGCAATAACAGATAAACACACACACATACAAAATTGATAACACAACTAAAAACGAGGTCCATGCTTCAAGCGCCTGTAGACTGGAGTCAAGCTATCTTTACTAACCTAATCAGTCACACAAAAGGGCTTTTGACGAAAAAATTTAAGAATAATTCAACTTACTGTCACAGTGAGGACCAGTCCATTCATCCGGACACGTACATGAATAGCTGTTCACCTGGTTACGACAAATGCCTTCGTTTGTACAAGGCTGCTGATCGCATGGTGCTCCTGTTTATGGATAACATCGGTATTATTATTAAAACTTTAAAATTTAAATTTTAGTGACTAGGACTACTATACAATTCGTTTTGATTTATTGGGAAAATTTCTATCAACATTTCTGTACAAAAGACCACGGATCTGAACATTCCAGTAATTGTAAAAAAAATCCTTTCTCATTTTATTTTATTTTATCTCGTTTATGGCAATAACTAAATACGACATACATATGTACCAACAGATTGTTACTTGCATTGAGTAACTCTAATGTTTCGGAACCCCGGCAATATCCCGATTGGAGCGGGTTTTTGTTCTTTGTCACATTCAGATTTACAAGAAGGGTATAGTATCAAACATTCAAGTTGATTTCAAAGTAGTTCATTCAAATACAAGCTTACATAAGGCTAGCTCTGTATAGCTTTTAACTGGTTTATTTTTGTTTTTTGACCATTGACGAATAAAAACGTGGTTTAAAATATGCATAAACTGCATGAAATATACTTTGGTACATGTATGTAGCAGCTTTGTATGTCAGAAATTTATCCGACTGATTCTGTACGTTGTTTGCAAATTTGTCACTTCTTACAATATTTAGTCATATTGATTATAGCGTCATAATACTGCTAAAAACGTTTCTACTTCGGAATAAGAAATAACAGTTACGAATAAAACATTATACAAATAAGGTGTGTTTTTTGATTTCCAATGATACAACAAACAACCTAAAGTAGAAGTCGTAGTGACCAAAATTATACGGTCTCTAGTGGAGAGTTGTCTCATCAGCAATTATACCACATCTTCTTATTTTTATATTTGGAGAAAAGTTTAAAAGGATAAGGATGAAAAAATTCAAAAACTACGAAATTAAGAACTAACAGCTTGATTTAAACGAATGAAAATGTACGAAAAACAATTAAAACAAACGTCCTCCCACGACGACTACTGGGCTGGCGGATCATTTCTGGCTTAGAAAAGGCACATAAAGAATGCGGTGGGGTTATACATATGTCTTTAAGCGCTCAACCTTCCCTCACGGGGACAATTGTGTAACAGCAATGACTGATTTATTAGCGTACGTTACTCATGATTTATATCAGTACAGTATCTTAAAAAGAGGCAGCAGAGACCAAAAGGACAATCAGAAA